TTTTAATTTTTTATTACATACAGCTACTGACTTGTCTCTTTGCATGTGCGTGGTTGTGTTTTGTAGGTATTTTGTTCTGTTTTGAATATATTCTTATTGATTTCAGAGAAGATGGGAGAGGGAGAGAGAGAAACATCAATAATTTGAGAATATCATTGATTGGCTGCCTTCTGCACACCCTCTACTGGGGATGGAGCCAGCAACCCAGGCATGTGCCCTGACTGGGAATCGAACCTGGGACATCTTGGTCCATGGGATGACACTCAGTCCTCTGAACCACCAGAGCCAGGCTGTGTAGGATTTTTGGTTTTACAAATTTTAACGTTTTTGGCAATCCTGCAATCAGGAGGTTTAGTGTGGCCATTCTTTCAGCAAGCTCAGATGCTGTTGACCAGTGTGAACATGAGAAATATTCAAACCTGTAAATAATTTTGGTGAGTTTATTTGGTCCAAACTTTCAACAGTTGCTTGGAAGCAAAATCTCAAGGCATTGACATAATGCTCAAGAGAATGGCAGTTTTGCACCTTATTTGATACATTACAATCAAAAGAGCAGGCATAGCTGGGTTTCATGAAATTCATTGGTGATAGATTAAGGAGGCAGAAGAGAGCAAAGTGGGGCTACTTCTGGAATTGGATTAAAAGTAAAATGATAAATCTTTTACATAGTTGGGGACAGGATAGCTAATAATCAATATTAATATGATGAAAATAGCAATGAGAGTATTTCTAGTCTCTGCTATGTATGGTGCATTTGGTTGTGCCCTGAAGAATCCCAAAAAAAGGGATGTTACTCTGACTTTCCAAAGGGATGTTATCATAGATGCAGAAAATGATAGACAGGCTCAGTTAAGGTAAGGATTGACTTTTGTGGGTGAATATTCCAGCTGAGGACATGTCTACTTGTCATTAACTGCTTTTAGTTAGAAAGTTTTCATTTCAAAACTTCCTTTGTGGTCACTTTAGGTCTCTTAATTTCCCTGAGCTTGTTACTCTGTACTGATAAAGTATTTTTCACACAGTATTTCTGTTTTTATTAGCCTGCAGTAAAGTGTAAACATATCTTTATTATTTAATTAGAGGCCTGGTACACGAATTCGTGCTCGGGTGGGGTCCCCCCAATCACCTGATGGCCGGTCAGGGGAGGGACTGCAGGGGTTTGCTGGCTGAGGGAGTTTTTTGTGTGTTTTTTAAAAATATTTTTATTGATTTTAGAGAGGAAGGGAGAGGGAGAGAGAGATAGAAACATCAATGATGAGAGGGAATCACTGATTGGCCACCTCCTCTATGCCCCTCACTGGGAATCGACCCCACAACCCAGGCATGTGCTGGAATTGAACCCGGTACCCACAGTTAGGGGGTGATCAGGCAGGCAGGTAAAGTGGTTAGGGGAGATTAGGCAGGCTGGCAGGGGAGCAGTTAGGGAGCGACCGTGCCGGCAGGGGTGTTGCTGTGGGAGCGCACTGACCACTAGGGGGCAGGACCTGCGTTGAGCTTCTGCCCCCTGGTGGTCGGTACAAGTCAAAGCGACTGGCCGACTGTTCATTCCAGTGATTCAGGTCATTCAGTTGTAATAGTCACTTAGGCTTTTGTATTTATAGACTAGAGGCCCGGTGCATGAAATTTGTGTACTGTGGTGGTGGGCAGGGGCCCCTCAGCCCGGCCTGAAACCTCTCCAATCTGGGACCCCTTGGGGGACCCGCAGGGATGGGCCCTAAACTGGCAGTTGGACATCCCTCTCACAATCCAGGACCACTGGTTCCTACCTGCTTGCCTGCCTGCCTGCCTACCTGATCGCCCCTAACCACCTCTGCTTGCCGGCGTGATCACTCCTAACTGCTCCCCTGCCAGTCTGACTGATTGCCCCTAATTGCCTCTGCTTGCCAGCCTCATTGCCCTCTAACTGCCCCCCTGCTGGCCTCATCGCCCCCTAACTGCTGCCCCCCTGCCGGTATGGTCACCCGTTCACTTCCCCCCTGCTGCCCCTAACTGCTTCGTGCCTGGTCGCCTCCTAACTGCCCACTGCTGGTCTGGTTACCTCCTAACTGCCCCCCTGCTGGCCTCGTCCACCTGGTCACCCCCTAACTGTCCCTTGCCTGGCTTGGCTGCCCCCTAACTGACACCTGCCAGCCCGGTTGCCCCCTAACTACGCTTTTCCTCACCTAGCCACCCCTTAACTGACCCCTGCCAGGCTTGTCGCCCCCTGACTGCTCTCCCTGCCGCCTGGTCGCCTCTTAACTGCCCCCCTGCCATCCTGATCGCCCTCTTAATGCTCCCCTACCAGCCTGGTTGCCCCCAACTGCTCCCTTGCCAGTCTGCCTGATCGCCTGTAACCACTCTACCTGCCTGCCTGATTGCCCCTAACTGCATCTGCTTGTTGGCCTAATCACCCCCTAACTGGTCCTCTGCCAGCCTTGTCATCCCCTAACTGCCCCCCTGCAGGCCTGGCCACCCCCTAACTGCCTTCGTGCTGGCCTGGTTGCCCCCTAACTGCACCCCTGCTGGCCCTCTGCTTGCTGGCCTGATCGCCCTCTAACTGGTTCCCTGTCAGGATGGTCGTCCCCTAACTGACCCCCTGTTGTCCTGTGTGCCCCCTAACTGCCCCTCTGCTGGCCTGGCCCCTAACTGCCTTCGTGCTGGTCTGGTCACTCCCTAACTGCCCCTGTGCCAGCCTGGCTGCCCCCTAACTTCCTCCCTGCCAGCCTGGTCACCCTGGTCGCCCTCTCACTGCCCACGTCCCTAACTGACCCCTGCCAGCCTGGCCGCCCCCCAACTGCTCCCTGCAAGCCTGACTGATTGCCCCTAACCACTTTACCTGCCTGCCTGATCGCCCCTAACTGCCTCTGCTTGCCGGCCTGATCGCCCCCTAACTGGTCCCCTGCCGGCCTTGTTGTTCCCTAACTGCCCCGATGCCAACCTGGCCACCCCCTAACTGCCCCACTGCTGACCTGCCCACCTCCTAAGTGTCCCCCTGCCAGCCTGGCCGCCCCCTAACTATTCCCCTACTGGCCTGCCTGATTGCCCCTAACCACTCTACGTGCCTGCCTTATCACCCCTAACCTCCTCTGCTTGCCGGCTCGATTGCCCCCTAACTGCTCCCCTGGGCCTGGCCATCCCCTAACTGCTCCCCTGTCAACCTAACTGCTCTCCTGCTGGCCTGGTTGCCCCTAACCGCCTCTGCCCCAGCCACCATGGCTTTGTCCGAAAGGCAATTGGACGCCTGGAAGGTGTCCGGTCAACCCAGTCTAATTAGCATATTACTCTTTTATTAGTATAGATAGAAATTCCAAATATTTTTATAACTTTCTCTGTATCTCAATATTCGCTTTATTGTGGATATCTGAACTGAATCCACACTATCTCCAAGCAATACGTTCATATGATTTGCAAGTATTTTCTCCCATCCTGTAGATTGCCTTTTAATTTCATTTTGTTAATTGCTGTTGTGATGTGAAGACCCTTTTTCATTTGTTGTTGGCCAGACAGTTTAGTTTTGCCTTTTTGCCTGGTGGTTGGTGTCACATCCAGAAAATCATGTCCAAAGCTAATGTCCATAGCCTTTTCTCTAACTTGTCTTGAGTATTTTTAAGTTTTGGGATTGTCATCTAATTATTTGATTGAGTTTGATTTAATTTTT